TAACTTTCTTGGAAATTCGATTTTGATGTTTCTCTTCGATAGTTACTTGGTTTTGTTCATTTAGTGGATTATACTTCATCTGAATGAGCTCGTCTTATGGATATTTAGAGAGAAATTGATTCACAATAATCGTATAACAGCAGCAGTAAGCACTGATCACATGAAATGAAGTTCCTTTCATGAAGTGAAAATGAATGAAAATTGCAAATTTTTTGGTGAAGTGATCAATTTGCTGTTCGTATTCAAACTTGAAGTGATGATTCTGTTCGATCATACTTCGTCTCCGGAATTGAATTCAAGTTATTCATCCAATACAGGTCGGTTTCCCATCAGTTGGCAAATCAACACTTCTATCCGAGCTAACCACAACACGTAGTGAAACAGCAGCATACGAATTCACAACACTCACATGTATACCTGGTGTTTTAGAGCACGAAGGTGCCAACATTCAATTGCTCGATTTACCTGGTATTATCGAAGGTGCTTCACAAGGAAAAGGTTGTTCATTTTCACAAGAATTCTGTCTTTCATTTTGGATTGATTTACAATTGATTGTTTCATTGTATGTTCATCATTTCGTCTATATCTTTATAAATTTTCAGTCTGAACACCGTCATTCTATTTAATGAATAACTTTCTTTCAATTGAAATTTATTCAAAGTTTCCAGCATTACGTCAAATTTCCATCGATCGTTTTCATTGAGCTGCAAATCGAAAAATAATTTAAATTAAGGTCGTGGCAGACAAGTGATTGCTGTCGCTAAAACAGCAGATTTGATACTGATGATGCTTGACGCGGTGAAGGGTGAAATGCAGGTTGATGAATTGATGGACTTATTTCTCATTTTAATCAATTAGAAAAATTCCTTTCGGTCCATCAGAGATATCTCTGAGTGATCATATTCTTCAAAATCTTACAGGGCTGAGAGAAGTGCAAATAACTTCATATTTCCTTGATTATGATCATTTTACCGATAATTTCTCGAGAATCTGTCAGACTCATCGAAAATCTTCCAGAGAGCGCTTCTGGAACAGGAATTGGAAGCGGTTGGTATTCGTTTGAATAAACGACCTCCGCATATCTATTTGAAACAAAAGAAAGTGGGTGGTGTCAAATTCACGCATACACTTCCACTGACGCACTGTCACGAGAAACTGGTGATGACCATACTTCACGAGTATAAAATATTCAACGCTGACGTTGTGTTTAGGGACGATTGCACGTTAGTTCGTTCATTGTTTT